TACCACAAGTAATGAATACCACTGATGCCTTTTATTTAAAACTGACTTGCTCGTGTGTCATTTGGTTATTCCACATTCAGTTAATGCAGAAATATGTTTGTTTCCAAATTTAAAGGTTCAAAATTGCATTCATGTTGATAAGAAAATGTGCAAATTTGCATCAGTTTTTAAAAATATTAAGTTTGGCCCTCGACTCCGTCCCAGAGTTTCATTTCGGCCCCGTGTGAGTTTGCGTTTGACACCCCTGGGCTAGAGGCTCCTGCTGACAGCCTCTGCAGACCCTTGCAGCAGGACGAGGCTGAAGTTAGCTTCTGATTCGGGAAACGGCTAAAGGGCCATTACACCCAATTTTTCTCTACTCTGACCATCTTTAATCTGCTCTAGCTCAAAAACTACAACAGCCACCGTGTTCAAACCTGTTCTAGATTATTCTACAATAATAGCAGATCAAATAAAACACAGTGTGGGATTTGTGAAACATTTCCCTGATTTGTGAAACCCCAACAGGGCCTTGAAAAATCGGTCTGCGCGTGCCCCATAGTAGCACATGTAAACGAGCACGGATATTCCGACTATCTTGAAAATACGCCTCCAAAACAATTCCTCCGCTCCTCCATTGTTCTAACGGTGTAGTCTTTTTCTCCCGGGCCGGCTCTCAGACAAGAACTCCTCATATTACCGTAATGTACCGTACACCTCTGAAAGCGCGGAGTGTCACCTTTCTGAACCCATTGGAATTACGAAGGTTGCGCAAACGTTCGAACAGTTACGGTAGTAAACATGTGTGTGTGGGCTCCGGCGAAGTAGACGATCACGCTTGACGAATACCTTTGGGAAGCTACATGGACGTTCATTTGGCTAACGTGTGTACGATGTACTTTTAATGTATCTTCGAATAGTAAGGTGAGAAATGTTAAGACATTTTAAAATTGTCTCATGGGATGCATATGAAACGTGTATTCTAATTATTTAATATTGACACTCGCTTTTGAGTAAACATGAGTTGAACATGAGCTACTCTTATTGTGGTGAATTTAATATAGTGTAATACTGAAAACACGTGCTGCTACTCAACACAAACGCTCACTATCATCCACTTCAAAACGAAAAAACTGTGTTAGGGTTTCTATGCGTAGGCTACATTAAGTGATATCCCATAAAAATGAAAGAGCTTTACCCGACATTTTTGTAGAGAAGATGACATAAAACATTAAACAACTGTACTTGATCATTAAAATGCCGTCATGCAATCTGCTATTATTGTAGAGTAATCTAGAACAGGTTTGAACACGGTGGCTGTTGTAGTTTTTGAGCTAGAGCAGATTAAAGATGGTCAGAGTAGAGAAAAGTTGGGTGTAATGGCCCTTTACATCAGCCTCGTTGCAGCAGCTGCTGTAAGACTATTGGGTTCACTTCTGGCTGGCTGCTGTTCTTCCAGTTCGTCCTTCTGTGACGGCGTTGATGTCGACGGCGTTGGCGCTACAGCGTCTTCCGCCGCGTTTCCCGCCGCCTCTGGCTCTGCTGACTTGAGTAGGTTCACAGCTGTCGGACGGCTGCCCGAATAGCCCGACAGTCTCTTCTTTTGTTCCTCTTCATTTTTTTCTTTTTACGTTTTGCCGCACCCGAAAGCACCGTGAAAGTTAGCCTACTCAAAAACACCTGCTAGCTTTGTTGTGTCCCGCTCTGACTCTGACCCTTTCTGACCCTTTCTGACGTCCTTAATTTGGTGGCGCCCAAGTTGTAGGCTACAGTCGTGGGCTGGCGTTAATGTGACGTAGCTAATGTAACGGTCTATGGTTACGATAAACATTATCACTATTCTTAGTTAATTAATAAATATTGAAATAAACTGTAGATAGGAGTCCTATCCACAAATTATTTCATAGGACATTTGTACATTTTATCTTTGATTGATTTATTTTTAATTTTGTTCCTCTGTCTGGGCCCCATCCAGCCAATCAGGCCCTAGGCACGTGCCTACGTTGCCTTTGCGTTAATCCGGCTCTGGGCACAACCATCGCAGCAGCACCAGCAGGTGCAGCAGGAGGGTATTGTTGCAGTGCAACCAGAAGGTGTGTAAGAGCTGCAGGTGGAGCAAACTGGCCTGGCTGAGGAGCCAGAGTTAACTGAGGTGCTGGTCCCACCCAGCTGCAGCAGGTGCAACCCCACCAGCAGCATTAGCAGCCGGTGAAGCAGCAACTGTAGCAACAGCCAGAGGTGGAGGAGGTGATGGAGTTGGAGCAGGAGGTGGAGGTGGATGGAGTAAAGGGGTCCCCCTTTCTGTCTGAGCTTCACTCAGCTGTTTCCAGGCTGCCACCAGCTCCTCGTCAGAGTCAGAACCACAGGCTCCTCCTCTTTGCTGTTGGTCAGAAAGTGTACGCATTCTGTCTTGTTTCTCCATGTGTGCAAGGACCTCTCTGTCCCAGAGATGAGAGAGTAATACAGCAAACTCTACCAGGCCGTCGGTGCGGGCAGCTGGCTTGACATGTTCACCTTCTCTGGGCAGACCTTTAACTTGAGTCAGTAACATATTCATCAGCTCAGTAGCGGAACAGTTCTGCAAACCTTCATCATAACCATGAAAAGTCTGACTGGTATGACCTACACAAGATTCTACAGCGTCATTAACTCGTCTACCCACTGAGGGAAGACCCAGTTGTCATCCTTCTGACATGATTTTAATCAGAAATGAGGCTTTTCACCAAAGGGAATGTGATGGACAGAAACGCTCACTCGGTGGCGGCAGCGCGCCGATGGTGGGTACGGGCGGGGGTGCTGACGTCACCCATGTGTTCCACTCTAAAATGGCGGTGAGTCTGGAGTACGTCACCAGTTAAAGTTTTACACACTAACGTGCAAAAATCACCGCTTAAAACTACTCGAACGATGTCGGAGTTTTTCCCGTAGGCGTAGCGGATTTTAGGACACCGGAACGCTGTGTCAGACGGCTGGACAGGTTGTCGGAACGCGTATACCGACGGTCTAAACCGAGTCTACTAGTTAGTAGCTGGCTGTGCTAAGCTAGCAGGGCCTGTCAGCTAAGCAGGGCTTTGCGGTCTAATTTTGTTGTAGAACTGACCGGTCCGAGTAACCAAACATTCGTTTTTTATTTCATCCGAGCCTGCTCTTCTGCCTCCTGGAACCCTCCACCTCACATGGTCCATCATCTCCACCATCACAACGTGACAGCACCAGGACACCAGCCGTCCACCTCCATTCTGTAGGCAGACTCATCCCCATCAGAGATGAGTCCGATGACGGTGGTGTCATCTGCAAACTTGATAAGCTTGATGGACTCGTGGTTGGAGGTGCAGCCGTTGGTGTACGTGGAGAAGAGCAGAGGAGACAGAATACGGTCCTGAGGGGAACCGGTGCTGATAATCTGCAGGTCCAAGACATTCCACCCCAGCCTGTCTTGTTGCTTCCTGTCTGCAAGGAAGTCAGTGATCCACCTGCAGATTGGGGTCAGGCACGTTCATCTGGGACAGTTTGTCTTGGAGGAGGTCTGGGAAGATGGTTTTGAAAGCGGGGGAGCCCAGATGCTGTGGGATGTAGTGTGGAGCCATGTTGATGGCATCCTCTGCAGACCTGTTGGCTTTGTTGGCAAACTGCAGAGGCTGCAGTGCTGCACACACATACTTCTGATCTGCAAACAAGCACCCTGATGTGTTTGGCGCTGTGTGTTCATTTTTGCCGTTCGTAACACCGGCTCAGGGTAGGATGGGGCATTTCATGTGACTTACTCCGGCTCAGATCAACTCTAAGAGCTGTATTTGTGCAACAGACACATCACTGGTGTGGCCATCAGAAAGTCTGACAGCGTCGATGGGCTTCATTCAACCACTCTGTAGTAACGCGCCACTTTACTTTACACTGCATTGCAAAATGGAAAAAGTAATTAGTTAGATTACTACATTACCTAGGTAAGGCTGGTGCCCATCTCCAGCAGGTCAAAGGGCAATCAGGCGGGGTACGCCCTGGACAGAGAGCCAGTCCATCGAACCCAGGACCTTCTTGCTGCAAGGCACCACTGTGCCACTGAGCAGCCCCTGACTCCATCATATTCAGGTAAAACTTTCACAGGACCTCTGCCGGTTCTCCACCGGGTGAAGGGAAGCAGACATGGAGCGGGAAGACCAGCCCTACCACCCCAGAGAACGTTGGCGTGCGTAGGGGGTTGTACCTCCATCGAAAACTCCAGGAAATGGCGGCTTCCGTGAAAAAAACAGGACGGGGCAGAAAGCAGCAGAGGAGAAGGGGTTCGACCACCCCGGGAACGAGTAGGATGCGCCAAACATCTTGAGTCCGAATCTCCTTCCTTTAAAAGGAGAAAAAGTAAAGATTAATCCTCCAGGGAGATGTATAAGTGCTCACCACAGGTCCAGGCTGGTCAGATCATTCTGTCACGTTGTGATGGTGGAGATGATGGACCATGTGAGCTGGAGGGTTCCAGGAGGCAGAAGAGCAGGCTCGGATGAAATAAAACATGAATTTAATTCCAGAACGGCAGGAACAAAACACAACGATGACTTGAACGACAACAATGATCTGACAAAGGACATAACGAGACGGGAGGTGTAAACACACGGGGGAAATCAGGAACACACGGGCAGGCTAACAAGGGGCAGGTGAAACCAATAGGGACTAATGAGGCAGGGGGGGGACACCGTCCGGAAGGCGGGGGCAGATCGTGACCGGTGCAGCCACAACAACCTGGTGCTAAACACAGCGGAGGTTGTTGTGGACAGCCCCCCCAACCCTGCCTGAAAAGTAATGTCACAGTTACTTTGCTACTTAATTCAGTACTTTTACAATGTGGTAACTGAGTTGGTAACTCAGCCAAAACAAAAACTCTTATTTTTATTACAACAATTAAAGTTTAAAATAACAGCTATATATTACTGTGTGAAACGGTGATTCTTAAAGTCCAGATGTGGTTTGATGCTTGTATTTTGAATCAAGTCTCCACTGGAGGCCACTGGGGACTTAGGTAAGGTTGTTTATGTGCAGCTCATGAGGATCGGATCTTCCAGAGCCATAAGGTTGCAGACACAGCCCGGTACGTGAGCCATCCGGTTGTTACTGAGGTTCAGTTGCCTCAGTCGGCTCAGATTTGATAGAGAAGCTGGAAGTGAGGACAGCTGGTTGTTTGCTAAGCTCAGCACCTGAAACAAAAAAAAAACCCGTCCACCTGAGGGACACGTCCTCCTCTGTAGGGCCAAATGATATCTGCTTCTCTACAGCACTCTACTTTGTTTGCAAAATCGGCCAGTCAAATCCAAAACTTGACTTTCGAAGACAAAATTAGCTTTAAAATAGTCGAACAATGACTGGAAACCAGGAGCACACGAGCACCATCTCTACCAGGACCACAGCCAGTGGAAACAGAAGCACCTCCAGCTGTAAGCAGCCTCCAAGTTCTTCAGGGACTTCAGTCAGTTTGTTTCTGTAGACAAATAAAACCCGAAGTCTCCTCAGATGTCCTATTTCTGCAGGCCAACTGCTCAGCTGTGGACAAACCGTACATCACCAGAAAAGTAAATCCCATCAATTCAAACTGTTAAAAGGGAGTTTTCCTTTTCCTTTTTTCATTAGTGTGTGTGTGTGTGTGTGTGTGTGTGTGTGTGTGTGTGTGTGTGTGTGTGTGTGTGTGTGTGTGTGTGTCCTGTCTGGCTGTGAAGCAAGCAGAATTGATGTCTGAATGCTGGTGACAAGCCTTACAGATTTACTCTCAGGTGGAGCATCAAAGCGTCTGCTTTTAATGTCACGCCTGATACTTAAAACTTTATTGTTGTTGTTGTTGAATGCTTTGTAATTCCGACCAGACACGGAGACAGAGGTGAAAGAGAAAGGAAGAGACAAAAGGTGGGTGTGTGTGTGTGTGTGTGTGTGTGTGGGGGGGGGGGGGGGGGGGGGGGTTCACAAAAATAAACAGTAATGAAGAAGTCTGCTTCTAGACCTGCAGAAAGAGAGAAGAAAAAAAGGGACACAACAATACATCAGGAGGAAGCTGTCACTGCGTCAACGTGATGATGAAATATAAAATCAACATTGTTTAACTGAACAATCACACGATAATAAATCACAGTGCATTTAGTGCCAACGACAGCCTTAAGACATGTGTTGAACGCGCCCAGGTCCATACTTATGAGAGCACCATGTGAGCACCTGTGTGTGTACACGCGCTTGTTTATGTAAGGTTTCTCTATAGGAGCGTCCAACAGAGAGTGTGAGGGACCACAGATCTGCCCCCCAAAGATGCGCAGGAGACGGGGGGAGCTCCTAGTCCCAGAGATCCAGGCACTGCCCCAGAACACAGGAACCCCAAGGAGACTGCAACCAGAAAGCCCCCCCCCCCCCCCCAGAGGCACAGAGGATCGCCCCAGGGGGCCCACAACCAGCAGCCGGCAGAGTCCCGGGAGATATCGGCAGCAAGCCCACAGGCCCGCCCGCAGCCTCCCACCCCCTAGCCGGCCGAGCCCGGGACCCAGGGGCGAGCACCCCTCACCAGGGACCCACCTGATGGGTTCCTTATATAGGAAACTTGTTACTGACTGTCTTAATGACCTGACCTGTGATGTTTAATGTGTGAAGGTCCTTGAGACGACTCTGGTCCTGATTTGGAGCTTTAGAAATAAACTGAATTGAATTAGAACAGCTGAGTGGTTCCAGATTAGAACCCTAAATCGTTTTGGGATCTGAAATGATGGAAAGAAGAACAGGCCGAGGAGTCTCGGGCTGTTTAGATCAAAGTCTAGAGGAGATTCTGCAGCTGCACCTGCAGAGGGCGCTGCAGGACCTCAACAATCATGTGTCTCTGAGATGAGCTGAAGTGAAGGTTGAAGGACAGGACGGAAACCAGGTCCAGGTGCTTTACAGAACCTTTATTTGTCCAGGACACAAATCAGCTGTTGTGGATTCACTGTGTTGCTCATGGGCACAGGCATGAACCTGAATATGTGACTGCTGCTGGTTTCTGTGTCAGTGTTCTACAGAACAGTACTTATTAGTGCTTAGGTCCAAAATAAGACCGGGACAGACCTCTTCCATGTCTCACAGCAGGACTCAGAGATGCATAAAGTCAAGGAAAGATGAAGATGAGACCAGAGAAGAAGAAAAAAATGAAAAGTTGGTGCAGGACCTGTTGCCCCACAAGTTCGGCACCACCAGGTTTGTGAGCTGACCCAGGTGAGGAGGAAGAACTTTCAGACTGTTGAGGGACAGATTCAGCTTCTCCAGCTCCAGCAGCTCCCACATGTCTTCTGGGACTTCCTACAGAGAATGAAGATTAAAGACTAGAATAGACTTTAAAGGCTCCATGTGTGAAATCCAGTACAGTCATGATAAAAAATACGACTCTTCAGCACCACGCAGTTCAGAGAAGGTACTGCACACACACACACGAACACACACACACACGAACACACACACACACACACACACGAACACACACACACACACACACACACACACACACACACACACACACACACAGGGTGATGGTGGCTCCGTTTATCCGCGGGCAGCAGAGGACGTTGTCGCCCCCTGCTGCCCGCTCTCAGCTATAGCGATAAGGAGACGTGGATGTGGGACCATGAACAGGGACGATGGAGTTTACACACTGGACCGCTCATGGGACTGCATCGTCGGAGAGGGGAGAGCGGGCAGCAGGGGGCGACAACGTCCTCTGCTGCCCGCGGATAAACGGAGCCACCATCAGCGTCAGCTCTGAGGAAGTTTGCAGCCGCGAACGAAACATCAGCAAGGTTAAAAAAACCCTTTTCTGTGTTTCAAAAGAAGTAAAAATGCAGCTAGAAAAGCAGCACAGCAAGAACACACACAAAAAGGGAAAGCTCACGTCAGTCGCTTGTATCCGTCTGAAGAGAGGAGGAGGCCTGAAACTTGATGAGCTTCTGTTATCTGTAAGGGCGCATGCTTCAGTGGTGGGTTTAAAACAAGGATGAAGACCTCCTTCATGACCTGACTTCTTCCACTGATTGTAGCTGTATTACATCAGAGTTAGGTCTAGGGTTTTACTACAGTTTTATTCTGCCAGCGTTGCTTTTATGGCTCTACTGAGTTTTGTGAAGCACCCAGGTGCCATGTTTCATGTAAGATGCTGTACAAGCAAAGTCTGAGTTGTGTTGTCTGGAGGATCAGGTTCCACCGGGCGAGCCCCCGCCCCCTATGAGAGTGCTGCAGACATCATTGTGGTACTTAAGTGCACCTTAAATAGAATTTGCATAATAAAAACCATCAGGTTAGCGCCCTCTTCAGGTGAAAACTCTGCTCTACATCTGAACCTGAATCAGCCGTTGTCATTGGCCAGTGTTTCTCACATGACTGCTCTGCCCTGCATCAGCGTCTCGGCCACGCCTTCGGCTGGCTCCTCCACTCGTGGGCTGGTACCAAACGATTCTGTTCACCTCCTCCATGAAACTGTCCTCCCTTCCATCGTCCTTCTCTTTGCTCTGAAGCAGGGGGAGATAAGTGCTCCAGTCAGGGAAGCCTGCTGCTGCTCCGTCTGAGCAGTGTGTGAGTGATCTCCACCAGCAGGTAAGGAAGATAGGATGACTTGCCCAAGGACACAACGACTGCAATATTTGGGCTCAAACCTGCAACCCTCTGCTTACAGTGTGTCACCCCTTTACCAGTGGCTCTATCTTTTCTGTCCAGGGACAGCCGTCCTTGATGTGGTCATGTGACCAACTTTCACCTACAGATAGTCAAGAGAAATGAAGTAAGACAACTGGTCACCCTTAGGAAGCAGGCTGACCTTTGTGTGTGTGTGTGTGTGTGTGTGTGTGTGTGTTCGTGTTCGTGTGTGTGTGTGTGTGTGTGTGTGTGTGTGTGTGTGTGTTCGTGTGTGTGTGTGTGTGTTCGTGTGTGTGTGTGTGTTCGTGTGTGTGTGTGTTCGTGTGTGTGTGTGTGTTCGTGTTCGTGTGCGTGTGTGTGTGTGTGTGTGTGTGTGTGTGTGTGTGTGTAAATGGATGATGAAGAACAAGCTTCTTTCAGAGTTTCAGAGGATTTTATTGATGTCAAATTGAGGAAGCAGCTGGTGTCAACAACCCTCCATCTCTGCTCCTTTCATCTCTACCTGAGTGTCTCTGTGTGTGTGTGTGTGTGTGTGTGTGTGTGTGTGTGTGTGTGTGTGTGTGTGTGTGTGTGTGTGTCATTTAATAACAAATCTGATTCATATACAATGAAAGTGGACTTGAGGAGATTTAGACTGGAGCTGGTCCTGGCCCAGTTCCCCTGGGTTCTGGTGAGTCTCTGTTGTGGTCTATGATATAATGTGAGATGTAGATGTTCTAAACCTGGAGACTGGGGTTAAGCTCCAGATTGATCCATATGTCCCACAGCCTTAGCCCCTCCCCCACTAGTGTCTCTAAAGCCTAACTTGTGCGTCTCCATCAGCTCCACGAGGGAGACCCACGCATCAACCCTAACCCATATCTGTCTGAGGTGTGTTTTTGCATAACAAAGCTATCCTCTCTCTGCCGGGGGTACCGTATTTTCATGACCATAAGGCGCACCTAAAAGTCTTAAATTTTCTCCAAAAGGTGCGCCGCGCCCTATGGTGCGGTGCACCTATTGTGTTGTTGTGAGAGGCGAACGTAGTAGAAGACAAGGGGCATGGCATGAACGTGCGGACGTGAGCGAAAACAGACCTGTGGATTTGTCACATCGTCATCAACATCCTCGCTGTTTTCCTCAGACTCTGGCTGTGAGACTCCGCCCACTTCCTCTGCTTCCAGTTCAAAAAACAGCCCTACTATCTGACCTGCCTGGTGGACATTTATCCTTCTCATCATCCTTTATATAAGCCTAATAAAAGCCTACTAAACTGCAGAGACAACATATCTGTCCGGATCGCTCCAAAATATGAACTTTACCGTCAACATCTGTCTAATTGTTTGTTGTTACTCCGCTCGCGCCACTCCTTTCCCGCCAAGCGGCTCCTTTTTGTGCACATCTGGTTACTCGTGCGGCCTTCCTCTCTCTCTCAGCTACATCATGATGCTTTTTATCAGCTGAATATGTGAGACTTCCACCAACAGCAACAGGATCTCACGCTTTTATGTTCACAAGCACGTTCCCTCTCACAGATTACTAAACTGCTGTTTTTACAAGTTGTCAGAATGTCTAAAAATAGGTCGTTTTTTAGTTTAGTATAACTCCGCTTTTACGTTGCCTATTAACAACATTTAAAAACTGGGGTGTAGTTTATAATCTCCTTTTTAAGGCTGAATTGAAACCGAAACTCAGGGAAGCGGAGTCTTGCTGCTACAGCGTCCCAAATCAGACCTGATCTACAGACGCAGATATGTGTCCGTGGACCCCAGAGGGTTAAAAAAGCACAATTCAAATCACACGATTTTCTTTGCTAACCCTACCATAGCTGGTTCATCTGAACTCAGCCCAATATCATTTTTACTGATGTTCTTAAGGAGGTGTGTGTTATGATCCACCCCGGCCTCCCTGACTGTGTCTCTCCTGCCTTGATTAACCTTATTGTTCTCACCTGTCCCTCATTACTCTGCCCATGTGTTCCTGATTCCCTTGTGTATTTACACCTCCCTCTTTGCTCCTGTCAGTCGTCGGATCATTGTCGTTTGTGCATGTTTGTTCGGGTTAGGGTTAGGGTTCGTCCTGTCACTCCCGTTCTACAATTAAACATATTTTTATTTTTTCATCCGTTTGCCTGCTCTTCTGCCTCCTGAAACCCACCACCACACGTGGTCTGCCACCTCCACCCGCAGAACATGACAGTGTGTGTACAAGAGTCAGGGGTGGGTGGCAATGAGGGCTATGTTGGGTCATTTTAATAGGTAAAGCACTTAATAAGTAAAGTTTTATTGGTTGATTAGATGTCTCTGAGTGTCTCTGTGTGTCTCTGAGTGTCTCTGTGCTTCTCTGTGTGTCTCTGAGTGTCTCTGTGCGTCTCTGTGTGTCTCTGAGTGTCTCTGAGTGTCTCTGTGTGTCTCTGAGTGTCTCTGTGCTTCTCTGTGTGTCTCTGAGTGTCTCTGTGCGTCTCTGTGTGTCTCTGAGTGTCTCTGAGTGTCTCTGTGTGTCTCTGAGTGTCTCTGTGCGTCTCTGTGTGTCTCTGAGTGTCTCTGTGCTTCTCTGAGTGTCTCTGTGCGTCTCTGTGTGTCTCTGAGTGTCTCTGAGTGTCTCTGAGTGTCTCTGCGTGTCTCTGTGCGTCTCTGTAGGCATCTGAGTGTCTCTGTGTGTCTCTGTGTGTCTCTGAGTGTCTCTGTGCTTCTCTGTGTGTCTCTGAGTGTCTCTGTGCGTCTCTGTGTGTCTCTGAGTGTCTCTGAGTGTCTCTGTGTGTCTCTGAGTGTCTCTGTGCTTCTCTGTGTGTCTCTGAGTGTCTCTGTGCGTCTCTGTGTGTCTCTGAGTGTCTCTGAGTGTCTCTGTGTGTCTCTGAGTGTCTCTGTGCGTCTCTGTGTGTCTCTGTGCTTCTCTGTGTGTCTCTGAGTGTCTCTGTGCGTCTCTGTGTGTCTCTGAGTGTCTCTGTGTGTCTCTGAGTGTCTCTGAGTGTCTCTGTGTGTCTCTGAGTGTCTCTGTGCTTCTCTGAGTGTCTCTGTGCGTCTCTGTGTGTCTCTGAGTGTCTCTGAGTGTCTCTGAGTGTCTCTGCGTGTCTCTGTGTGTCTCTGTGCGTCTCTGTAGGCATCTGAGTGTCTCTGTGTGTCTCTGAGTGTCTCTGAGTGTCTCTGTGTGTCTCTGTGTGTCTCTGAGCGTCTCTGTGTGTCTCTGAGTGTCTCTGAGTGTCTCTGTATGTCTCTGGGTGTCTCTGTGTGTCTCTGTGTGTCTCTGTGTGCATCTGAGTGTCTCTGTGTGTCTCTGAGTGTCTCTGAGTGTCTCTGTGTGTCTCTGTGTGTCTCTGAGTGTCTCTGTGTGTCTCTGAGCGTCTCTGAGTGTCTCTGAGTGTCTCTGTGTGTCTCTAAGTGTCTCTGTGTGTCTCTGTGTGTCTCTGAGCGTCTCTGAGTGTTTCTGTGTGTCTCTGTGTGTCTCTGAGTGTCTCTGAGAGTCTCTGAGTGTCTCTGTGTGTCTCTGAGTGTCTCTGAGTGTCTCTGAGCATCTCTGAGCGTCTCTGTGTGTCTCTGTGTGTCTCTGTGTGTCTCTGAGCGTCTCTGAGCGTCTCTGAGTGTCTCTGAGTATCTCTGAGTGTCTCTGAGTGTCTCTGTGTGTCTCTGAGTGTCTCTGAGAGTCTCTGTGTCTCTGTGTGTCTCTGAGTGTCTCTGTGTCTCTGTGTGTCTCTGAGTGTCTCTGAGAGTCTCTGTGTCTCTGTGTGTCTCTGTGTGTCTCTGAGTGTCTCTGAGCATCTCTGAGCGTCTCTGAGCGTCTCTGTGTGTCTCTGAGCGTCTCTGAGTGTCTCTGAGCATCTCGGAGCGTCTCTGAGCGTCTCTGAGTGTCTCTGTGTGTCTCTGAGCGTCTCTGAGTGTCTCTGAGCATCTCTGAGCGTCTCTGAGCGTCTCTGTGTGTCTCTGTGTGTCTCTGAGCGTCTCTGAGTGTCTCTGAGTATCTCTGAGTGTCTCTGTGTGTCTCTGAGTGTCTCTGAGAGTCTCTGAGTGTCTCTGAGAGTCTCTGTGTCTCTGAGTGTCTCTGTGTGTCTCTGTGTGTCTCTGAGTGTCTCTGGGTGTCTCTGAGCGTCTATGTGTGTCTCTGGGTGTCTCTGAGTGTCTCTGGGTGTCTCTGAGCGTCTCTGTGTGTCTCTGAGCGTCTCTGTGTATCTCTGGGTGTCTCTGAGTGTCTCTGAGTGTCTCGGTGTGTCTCTGAGTGTCTCTGAGTGTCTCTGAGTGTCTCTGTGTGTCTCTGAGCGTCTCTGTGCGTCTCTGAGCGTCTCTGAGTGTCTCTGTGAGTCTCTGAGTGTCTCTGTGTGTCTCTGTGTGTCTCTGAGCGTCTCTGTGCGTCTCTGTGCGTCTCTATGTGTCTCTGAGCGTCTCTGTGTGTCTCTGAGTGTCTCTGTGTGTCTCTGAGTGTCTCTGTGTGTCTCTGAGCGTCTCTGTGCGTCTCTGAGCGTCTCTGTGCGTCTCTGTGCGTCTCTGTGCGTCTCTGTGCGTCTCTGAGTGTCTCTGAGTGTCTCTGTGTGTCTCTGAGCGTCTCTGAGCGTCTCTGAGCGTCTCTGAGTGTCTCTGAGCGTCTCTGTGTGTCTCTGAGTGTCTCTGTGCGTCTCTGTGCGTCTCTGAGTGTCTCTGAGTGTCTCTGTGTGTCTCTGAGCGTCTCTGTGCGTCTCTGAGCGTCTCTGTGCGTCTCTGTGTGTCTCTGTGCGTCTCTGTGCGTCTCTGAGTGTCTCTGTGTGTCTCTGAGTGTCTCTGTGTGTCTCTGAGCGTCTCTGAGCGTCTCTGAGCGTCTCTGAGTGTCTCTGAGCGTCTCTGTGTGTCTCTGAGCGTCTCTGTGCGTCTCTGTGCGTCTCTGAGTGTCTCTGAGTGTCTCTGAGTGTCTCTGAGTGTCTCTGTGTGTCTCTGAGTGTCTCTGAGTGTTACTGTGTGTCTCTGTGTGTCTCTGAGTGTCTCTGAGCGTCTCTGTGCGTCTCTGTGCGTCTCTGTGTGTCTCTGTGTGTCTCTGTGTGTCTCTGAGTGTCTCTGTGTGTCTCTGAGCGTCTCTGAGCGTCTCTGTGTGTCTCTGAATATCTCTGAGCGTCTCTGAGCATCTCTGAGTGTCTCTGTGTGTCTCTGAGTGTCTCTGTGTGTCTCTGTGTGTCTCTGAGTGTCTCTGAGTGTATCTGTGTGTCTCTGAGCGTCTCTGAGCGTCTCTGTGTGTCTCTGAGCATCTCTGAGTGTCTCTGAGTGTCTCTGTGTGTCTCTGAGTGTCTCTGTGTGTATCTGTGTGTCTCTGAGTGTCTCTGTGTGTCTCTGAGTGTTTCTGGGTGTCTCTGAGCGTCTCTGTGTGTCTCTGGGTGTCTCTGAGTGTCTCTGAGTGTCTCTGTGTGTCTCTGTGTGTCTCTGAGTGTCTCTGTGTGTCTCTGAGTGTCTCTGAGTGTCTCTGAGTGTCTCTGAGCGTCTCTGAGCGTCTCTGAGTGTCTCTGAGTGTCTCTGTGTGTCTCTGAGTGTCTCTGAGCGTCTCTGTGTGTCTCTGAGCGTCTCT